GGGGGGCAGGTGAGGTGGAGGACAGGTGAGCTGGGAGACAGGTGAATAGGAGGACAATTCAGCCAGAAGGAAGCCAAAGAGGGTAGTCAAGAACCACCTCCCATATCTGGGGGGCAGTAAATAGGCAGACAAGTGGCTTCTTCATGGAGTCTCAATGCCTGCACCCAGGGATTGGTCCCAGACAGCGGTTTGCTTCTTTTCCTTATCCCCCAATTATCTGTGCCTGTGTCCTGGCTCTGAAATGGTCCAGTTTATCTCCTGCAGATGGTTCCCGAGGATGCTTTATTTTTTCTTGTTTCCATGGACCTGTTTGTGCTGCTCTCTGTCTGAGCTAAGCTCATGGCAGAGACAACTAGTTGTCCTCCAAAATCTGTTCTCCCCTTCTTCCTTAGGACCAGAACCCCTGAATATTTCCTGATCATCTGGAATAGACTTTATTTCCCAGCCTCCCTTGCATTTAGAATTAGCCATCTTACTAAGTTTTGGCCAATGGGATATAGATGTAAGTGTTGTACATCTTTCTCTGTTTCTTCCTATTGCTTGGAATGTCAGCATGATGGCTGAACTTTGGGCAGCCATATTGGATCATGAGGTGGAAGCCAGTGCAGAGAAGGTGTTAGGTAAGCCTTTCCACCTGTCCTGAATTTCTCTTACATGACAAGGAAATACATGTCTATTTAAAGCACTATTTTTTAGGGCTTTTTGCTGCTCAGTGAAATTGATTCCAATCTAACACAAACCATCGCTCTCTCTCGAAGCAACTTCTCCTTTTCTAAACTGGCACTCTCAACCTGCTGGTAGGAATACCAATATAAGGCCAGGGGCACTTACATAGCAAAGCTTAAAAAATATGCAGTCCCTTTGATTCGGCAAATCTGTTCCTAGCACTCTAACCTTAGGATATCATTATAGGTGTGCACAAAATTTTTAATTGCAAAGCTGTTCGCCTCAAGACTTTTTATATACATAAAATTGGAAACAACATTAGTTGTTAACTAATTAGTTAACTAATTGGTGGTCCATGATACAGTGGAAAATGCTGTAACATTTCCAGATGAACTTTCTGGCATTATTTCCTTAACAACAGTAGCAAACACTTAGAAAGCACATACTATGTTCTAAGTGCTTTATGTGTCTCATATAATCCCCACATCTATGGAGACCCCACTTCTGAGAAGAGTGGGAGGCTCACCCAGGAGCAGCCTTAGCAACTCCCAGAGGCTGGGGCACAGGACTATGTGTCCTGAGGTTCAGACGGCAGCTGTTCCCTTGAGTCCCACCCACCAGAGGCCTCTGGGCACGTGTCCCCAGTCTCCTCTGGTCATACCTTGGCAACTGGACTGATGGCAATAGATCCTCTCTCAGACACAGAGCTTCAGAATTCATGAAACATGCTCACATCCATGGGGCAGGCAGGGATCACCATCCCCACTGAACAGACGGGAAGACTGAGGCCAACGAGGGGAAAGGATGTACCCAAAGTCATACTGAAAGTCCATGGCAGAGCCAGGCTCAGAATTGAGATTTATCGCCTGTCAGATCAGTACATTTCTGAGGCCTTGGAGCCCTAGATGGCACCAGACAAGTCCCCGGACTTTGTGTGATCTTGGTAAGAGGATGTGGTTATGGCCCAGGGTGCAGCTTCTTTTCCGGGCTACAGTGTTCAAAGTCCATGATGTCCATAAAGAAATCAGCCAGGACAACAAGGCGTCAGGCGGAAGTGAGGTGCGCCTGGACGGTATCATTTCTGTGGAAGTCCTTTCATCTTCAAATGTGTCCTCCTGCCGGTCTGACACAACGCCTTTATCTCTAGCATTAGTGCTCGATCCCCTCGGGGTACAGCATCACGCTCTTTAAGGGTAACCATCCCTGGGAGAAAGAGCACATTACATTATGATTGGTCATTGAGATTTCTATGAAAATAGCCTTGGAGACAGAGGATTATAGTAGAAAGATCTTCAGCCCCAAAGTTAGGAGACGAGCATTCTTGACCAGGCTCTGTATCTAATTCTCTGTGGTCAGCATTAGGGCCGTTCACAGATATTCTCTTTCTCCTCTTTCTAGGCCCTTGGAAGGATTGCACTTCCCTGCTCTCTTGACATCAGGTATGGCCACAACACTTGCTTTGGCCAATGAAATATGCTGAAGAATGACACATGTCATGTCTGTGCAGAAGTTTTAAGAGCCAGTGCGTGATTCACCATGCTCTCTCTTTCCCTCTACCACAGGGACCAGCGGTATTCCAGATCTTGGCTGCTCCTTTAGCCTGGGTCCAGCAAGAGGATTATGCGGAACAGAGGTCCCAGTTGATTGACGATAGACAAGAAGTAGGATCAGGAAGTAAGCTTTTGTTGTCATAAGCCACCAGGACATTGGTGGTTGTTTGTTATTGGCCTATCCTAGCTGATACACTCATAGCATAGCCTTGAGCAAGTCTATTCTCTATCTGGGCCTCAGTCACATCATCTATAAGGTGGGTAAATCAGATGCCATCTCAAGGCCCTTCCTGATTTTCTGTGTCTCATGACTTTCACTCTCAAGCTGAATGGTGGCTAAGGGTAGGCTTGTTATATCAGGGGCAGCCCAGAGAGGAAAACCTGGGTAATCTGGGTAGGGGAGTGAGGGAGTGGGTGGGAGGGTAAGAGAGGGGGCAAAGGGTAGAGGTCACCTACTTGGCTTCCTGGTTCATCCTAGACGTTCGAGGGTGTCCGCAGAGATGGTCTCATGAGTACCTGGGCCAAGTCTTGTGCTATGAGCTGATTTTCAGGTTGTTTCCATAGGGCAGGCTGCTAAAGAGAGGAGACAGGGTGCTCTCCTCAATGTTCCAGATCCCAAGAGGAATGCTGTTTGGAAGGCACCAGCCCTTACCCCTCCTCTGGAGACACCTCTGAGGTAGGTGTTCGATCCAGAAGAGTCCCCTTGCCCTCATGCACCGATCTTGTTCTTCCCCAACCACGGCTCCTCTTGTCCCTGGATTGTGTATAGCCCGACCCTCTCTGGCGTCACCTCCTACCACATGTGGCCCCTCTTCCTCCTCCAACTTGGACATTCACCTCACAGTGACTTGTGGCATCAGAGTGTGCCCTTCAAATCCAGCAGACTTATGACAGCCAATTCATTTGGACGAGAAAGGAAGAATCCTCATGACAGATGCCAATTTCCTTTCCCAGTAAAACTCCCAAAAGGGTATGATTTGCGGTTTTCTTTCTCATTACATTTGATGTATTTTTTTAGGCGGTTGCGAGTACACCTTCCTCTTCATGAGAAAACCCAGAGGCACGGCCCGCTGCCTCAGCAGGAACACAATGAAATGACACTCTGGCGCACATGCCTAAGAGACGCTGTCTAACAATAGAGGATGGGCAAGAAGAAAGGTGGCTGAGAAGTACATGGAAGAAAGCAAGCAAGGCAGAAGATGAGTGTGTGCCCTGACTGTGTGTCTATGAAGTGAGGACTGTAACTTACCAAGCCCCAGGGCTTTAGGTAAACCCACATAAATATGGCGCCTTCTCACATAACAAAGGTAAGTAACAGAGGGGCGCCTGGGTGGCTGAGTCAGTTGAGCTTCCGACTTCAGCTCATGTCATGAGCTCACGGGTTCGTGAGTTTGAGCCCTGCATGGGGCTCCCTGCTGTCGACAGAGCCTGCTTTGGAGCCTGGGTCCCCCCCTCCGCACCCCTGCCTCTGTCCCTCCTCTGCTCATTCTGTCTCTCTCTCAAAAATAAATAAACTTAAAAAAATCTTTGAAAAAAAAAGGTAACTAGACAGGTTTGTGTTCCCCCCACACCCCATTTATACGTTAAAGCCCAAATTCCAAGTGTGACTGTATTTGGAGGCAGGGCCTTTGGTTCTTGGGTCATGAGGACGGAGCCCTCATGATGGGTTCAGAGAGCTTCCAAGAAGAGGCAGGGGAAAGCCTGCTTCCTCTCTGGTCCCTGCCACACGGGGATACAAGGACAGGGTGGCTATCTACAAAGGAAGAGTGGCTTCACCAGATACTGGATCCGCTGGCACCTTGATCTTGGGACTTCCCAGTCTCCAGAGCCATGAGATATAAATGTGTGTCGTGTAAGCCACCCAGCCTGGGGTGTTCGGTTACAGCAGCCTGAAATGACTAAGACAAACCTGGCTGTGACCAGAGAAAGTAAAAGAGAAAAAAAAAAAACAAAAAACCTCTCTAAGTAAATATGTAGATTTAAGGCAGAACCACTTAAATTACAGCAGGATACTTTGGATAGCTTGATAAAATCACAATAACAGTCATTTAGAGAAAAAAGGGCAGACACGACAAGTGTTCATATGCCTTAAATATTTCATAATAAGTATTTCGTAATAAACATATTAGATAAAACAAGAAAAAAATGAAGGCAATTATATCAAAGACTATTTGTTGGGAGAGGCAGGCAATAATGGGGAGGCTTCCAACCATCGTAAAACATCTTATAAAGCACCGATCATTAACACTTTATGGAACGGTATTAAAAATAGAAAAAAACTGGCCACAGGAATGGAATCAAATTAGCTTCACACTCACTTAAAACTCACCAGCGAATCAATGGTATGAAGAGAAGACATATGGAAAAACACATAGTATTAACACACACGGTAATACAAGTGGTTTAAATTTAAGGAATTTTTTTTTAATTAAGTAACTAAGTTAAAATG